ACTGTTGGGTATTACTCCAACAATACGCATCATTTTCAATTTAGTTGTGATGTGGACTTCTAACATAATTAGAAGGATTATTAAAACGCTACATAGTTCTATATCGTTCTTGGTGTGAACAGGCCTTTACACAGCTACTCGGAAAATAAATAAACACAAAAAAAAAAAATCCATAAAAATAAGGCCCAATGTATCATGGATTACGGAGCCCCTAAATGGACATGGTGATGGAATGAGATGGGAGGAAAAACATTGTTTTAATACTTTTGCGTTCTCTCGCAAAAGTTTAGCGTTCCCCCGAGAAACTTTTTGTGCAGGCAAAGTTTCTCAGGGGAACGCAAAACAATTGCCTTTTTTTCCACCTCATATTTTTATTCATCACCATGTCCCTTTAGGGGCTCCATAGTGGATGTACTGTACTGGAGGATTAGGGTTAAAAGAAATGTCTGTACACTTAACGGAAAATGTCCTGGCAGAAAATTACCAGTACCGTTTTTCTACAGATTGTTTTTCTTACAGTATATATGCTGACTTGAACATTAGACTTGAGTTGATATTATTTTATAATACTGCCTGTATATTATCTTAATGCAGGAAACAAAAGAGTCTGATACAACTTCAAAACAAATCAGCCAAGTAACAAAATGAACACTGCAATAGTACTACAGTAATAATAATAATAGAGAGGTTATTTGCACTGATCGATAAATCAGGAAACGTCAGAACACTGAATGCCATGATTTATCAATCAAAATATAATTATTTTATTTATAAAAAATATTTTATTCAAGTATCAAATGTAGTGTAATAATATATAGGATATATTATAATATATATACATATATATATATATATATATATAATATATATATAATAGGATATATTATAATAAGAATATAATAAAATCGATTTTTTACCCTTTCGCCTGATTGCATTTCTTTCTTCTGTGAAACGCAAAAGATATTTTGAAGAAAGTTTGTTATCAAACCACTTCTTTGTATGGCCAAACACAAACACACACACACACACACACACACACACGAACACGAACACAAACACAAACACAAATTTCTCAAAAGAAAATCATACTGTTTTGAAATGACAAAGGTGAGTGATATATAATAATAATATATATAATCTAATGTAATAATTTAGATGGTAGCAAGCATTGCAAATCATTTTCAAAGCGATCACCTGGAAATGATAAAGGTTAGTGTGGTCAGCAAAGGGTAAGATCTGGGTAGGCAGAACAGGTTGATGGGCATGTCACCTCCTTCTCCTTCTGTCATCCATCTAGCACTGAAAAGTTTTCTCAGCATAATTTTTTTTTTGTCTTAACCTCAAGGCAATACATCAAAGAATTAACTTTGTGCAAGTGTAACTATGTGCGGTGTGGGAATAACTGCTGATCTGTCACAGGAGCTCAATGACAAGAGTGACTTTGTGGGAGGTAAAGGAAGGACACATACAAAATATTGCAGCAGAACAGTCTGGGATTTTGTGTCAGGCTCTCACACAAATCTCCTGAATGGCCTCCACAAATGTGTAGAAGGGGAGCTGGAGGGGGGTTGTGAAAGAAAAAAACCCCCGCTGAAATACCTAATATCTCTCCATGGACACGCCACAGCCTTGTTCGGTTATCTCTCTATTCATCCGTGCATTATTTTTGGAGAAAATTGCAAATTAAGTTAGACCTTGTGCCAGAACTGCAGTCAACAGCATTGAAAATATACCTTTTGATTTTTAGGTGACCTCATCTCCCAATTGATTTTCATTGATGCTTGTAATGTATCGTTAGCTTTAAAAAAAGGTCCCCATGGTTACACTTTATTTCGATGGTCCACTTTAGACATTCTACGAACTATAAATAACTTAGCAACTACATTCTGTGTTATTCAATTCAGTGGTTGCTCAGGAATTTGATTATGAATACTTTCGCGGGGGGTGGTACACTTCGGGTTTAAGGGGTTAATGCATTCTTGCGAAAGTATTAAAATCTTACTGACCCCAAACTTTTGATTGGTAATGTGTGTGGGAAGAGGCGAATCATATAGAACAGTGTTACACAGTGACCATCTTTTTGCTTACACACTCAACTTGTATCTCACAGGAGATGGATCACATGAGCTCCACTGACTTCACCACAGCAAATTGCTGCTCATTTGCATAAAGTTACATTTTTCTGAACTTTGTTGTGTCGTTGAACATGATCACAGGCGCTGTCGCTCATGTCCTTAGAAATAAACTCTCGTTACAAAAAAAGAACTGCAAAATAAACATAGCTGCAAATCCCTATCTTTCCCTATACAGTATTTCCATTCAAGCAGTTTCTTAGCAGTGTCACATGGGTCATTTTCCTACTCTTGGGCTCATTAGACGAAACAGCCTCCTCTGTACAAGACAGTGATTATCTCCACTGTCACTGTGCAATCTGTCATTTAGCTGGCTAGCGGTTAGTCTTTGCCCAATCCATCAGGGAATGTGTGCACTCCAATGTCAGCTGGACTCTGAAAAACGAGACTCGCTGCTCACAGGGTTGTTTATGCGGCGCTGGAATCATCGGTCTTGTGTGCCGTGGCTGGCTTTTGTTAGCCTTAAACTGTTTATGCTCGCATTGACATGCTGTATTAGTCATTTGAAATGTCTGAAAGAAGGTGCTGAGAGAACAGACACCTAAAAAGAATGCATGGCAGAGACATGAACATATTCCACACTCGCATTTGATGGACTGATAATAAGCGTTAGACGTGTGGGCAAAAAATTAATGTGAACTTTGTGCTGATGGATTTTATGGGATTCAAGTGTGAAGGCTTAATACAAGTCAACAACGGTATAACTGAAGCAATGGTAATGGATTTTTGGGAAGGGGAAAGATAATGGTCAAGGGAATAGTTTGTGCTCACCTCGTAGGCAGCGCTCAAATCTCATTGCTGTTTGTGTACATTCAAATAAGATGCAAAAAGACACGCTTTCACATCAGGTTTCGTATTCATCACAGCAAATGACAGCCTTTAACACAGCAAATAACTTTTTTTTTTGTTCCAGATCAGAAAAAAAGTCATAAAAATGACACGAGGCTGAATAAATTCTAACAGTTTTTTGATCCAACAATAGGTTGAGAGTTCAGCAAGACTAAACCAAAATCTACAAGTTAACTGGGTTTGTATTCTGCTAAAAATAATCTATTTCTTTTTAGATAAGAAAACATCTGATAAATGCTGTTTTGACATTGCAACTGGTCTTGTATGTATGTAATTGCTGCCCTCAAGTGGCCCTTTTGTGTAATGTGTAATGAAAAAAAACAGTAACCTTTAGGCTTGCCAGTCAAAAAAGGCCAGATTTCATACTTTCCCACAATCCTTCCTTGCAATTTGAACCTGTTATTAGTTCAATCTGACTGAACTTCAGCTCTTCTGACTCAAATGGCAAGGCTTTTGAAATTAGTGTACAAAATAAGCAGTTGGTTACTAGTTTGGCTGCTAATTCTGTCAATAACGAGAGACATGCCTCACATCATGTGATGGGGCGGAGAGGAACAGAATCTGACAAAGTTCCCCAGACTGGACGAGATCAAGAGACACAGCTGAGTCATATCTGCCTTGAGGGAGCGCTGAGCTCCTTCCTGTTCCTTGTTCCCCCATCTTACTGGAATCAACTCCCTCTATCAGTCCTAAGGGGGGAGAGCCTCCTGAGACAGACTATCACTTCCCCCTTTCTGCTGGAATATGTTCTCTATTAAATACATTACTTTTTGCTTACTTTTAAATACACTATTGCTAATTTGCTAATCTCAAATGGTTAAAAAGGGACATTTAATTGCCATGCCATGCATGGCCTAAGGAAACTGGGCTTCACCCCTATGACCCTAGAAGGTCATATAAGGAATAGAGAGTATAAGGAGATCTGTTTTGCTGTTGAACTGTCAAATTTCCATTTGCTTATAATAAGCATTCTTTGCAAAGACGCACAACAAATCCTATTAGAATAATTACAGAACATTTTACAATAGAAACCTGATTGTGACACCATGTAGTAATCATTCAGTCATCAGTAATCATGTATCTGTATTTGTATTATATATAAGACTTGTTTTCATTGTCTATATTATTGATTGACTGCAGACACTTTGTTCAACAGTAAATTTGGAAAGTTTTGCAATAATTCCAACTAATTCACTAGCAGAAATCCTGCTTGACTTAAGCCATAATTAACGCTGACAGCAATTATGCATGTGTCAGATGTTTTTAACACACTTCACAAAGAATTTTGCAGATTAACCAGTTTTGCTCTACCACCCACAAGAATTTCAAACTGCATTACTACCACTTTTAACTTTTCTACATACTGTAGCAATGCATGACATATCCACCATCACCTCAAAGTACTAAATAAATAAAACGGGTAATAAAAATAACTTTAAAGAAATAGTCACATAACATATAGGCGCAATTACGAGAAATAAAGTTGCAATTTAAAGATACAAAATTGCAATTGCAAGATGTAAAATCAGTCATATTACAAAATACAGTCACATTAAGATATTTAAAGTTATATTGTAAGAAATAAAATCACAATGAAGATAAATAAAGTTCAATTGTGACATATAAAGTTACAATTACTCTCAGATCATGATTAGATATCACTGTAGAAATAATGTGAATCTTATTGAATGGTCTCATGGTTTAATCAAAATGACTTGGATTGCACTTAATACTTTATATCTTATTGTACGTGAATTGCATTACATTTACATTTAAAAGATAGGTATACTTTTAAGGACAGTGGTTTGAAAAGAGCTATAGTGTCAGTTTAATAATAAGCTGCTTTATTTGAGGGTTTGAGCATATGACAAAAACAAAAGGTGGTAACAAATTCTTGAAGCCAGCCTTTAAGTAACAATAAAATAATTCAATTTCTTTTTGTGACATATTTTTTTAATATTATTTACAATGTACAATCAACTAACACTTATAAAAGAGGATTTTTACCAGGCATTTGCTGTAATATACAGTATATTTTTTAACCTGAGAAATGCATCCAAAAATACTCTTAACGTACACTATTATATTAAACAAAAATTCTAATGCGTTTCACCATAACTAGCATAAGAAAAGTTAGTGCATACTCAGAAACTGCTGGTATCCATGACATTGAAGGTAACTCAGCTGCAGAGCCAGAGATGGGTTAGCAGAATCTGCATAAGTTTCCATGTGGTTCTGATGACAGGTGACCCTTGTCCCATGTTGATATCCAGGTCCTCCACTGTAGCAATCACTGCTTTGGTCCTCCCAGCGGTGACCAAAATGTCCCTGACTGTTGGTTGCGCAGTGGTTGTAGTTTTGAGATGGTGTCGAGTTTGATGAGTCCTGATACATCTCTGTAGAGACTGTGAGCTCCGGCTGATGAGGAATGTAGTTATCCATCGGTTCCTGGAAAGTTCCGGTCTTCCCAGACAGGGAACTGTTCTCTTCCGGCTGCCGGTAGCACTCCATATGGGTACACGGAGGTGCGTGTGGTTCTGTGGTCGAATGTGTCCTCAGATACAAAGACAAAGTTGAAATGTGGTGGATGGCACGGCGGAGCGTGGAGATCTTGGACAGGCGCTTTCCGTTAAGATCATGTTTGAGGACAGTGCGCAATGCATTGAAGGCCTGGTTGTAGTCCAGGATGCGCTTCCGTTCTCGGACGTTGGCAGCGACTCTCCGTGCTTTGGACCTCTTGGGCCGAGTACGGCTCTTAACTGCTTTGACGTCCTCCGTGTCACTTGGGCCGGATGACATTGAGCGCTCTGAACGAAGCTTTCCGGGGCTTTCGTCGTCACAGTCGTCATCCTGACCTAAAGGACAATCTTCCATCTCATCCTCTGAAACTTCAGATTCTGTACTGGTGCTGCCCAAACTCATTGTTGTTGACTTTTGTCTATTTCAAAACACAAATCTTGGCTTTGGTATGAGAGATGAGAACTCTTACGGTCCGTGTGAACTACAAACAGGTATTTTTGCAAAACATCCACATGTTGAAATCTTCTCCTCACCTACCAGTTCAGATCTGTCAGTCTCAGAGAGGGTGAGAGGGGTTTTTAAACGCAATCTGTAGATGTGTCACGTGAGCAAAGGTGTATTCTGTGTTTACAAGTGCCCTCCAGGCAAGCGTAGACATCAGTCAACAGGCTTTGACACACCTCCTCAACACACAGGATCTGATCTTTCCAACTGTACCAAACGCGAAAACGAGGAATGACAATTGCAGAGTTGACAGATGCACGTAACTATGTAGTGTGTAAAAATTAGGCGTTTTATGTTTGGTTTGGACGCTTAGACAGTTAAGTATTGATATTGCAGACATGATTCTTCCTTGTAAATATTATGGAATCATTCATTATTGTGAAATGCAAAAACAACTCTCAGAGGGATACACTCTTAAAAATAAAGGTTCTTTATTGGCATGTAGTTCCCTGAGGAAGCTTTAACATCCGTATAAGCTTTCCATTGCACAAAAGGTTCTTTATATTTAAAAAAAAAGTTATTTGGATTATTAAAATGTTCTTCACACTAAGACAAAATATGGTTCTTTTCAAAAGGTTCTTTTGGAACCTTCATTTTTATTATCACTGGGGTGTGCAAATTAAGAAAAAATATTTGGGAGAACTACATCTTTAGGAAAAGGGGTTCTAAAAAGAACAAGATGACGGTTTTTCAGTTTGCAATCAGTTACCATTTAAAAGTAAAAATCTAGAGAGTGTGTTGACAGTTTGTGTAGTTGTATGGTTGAGCTCGAGGAAACCAATTTAAAAGCTATTTTGAAATACTTTTTTGACAGTTTTACAGATTTTAAAAACAAAAGGGCAGGAATAAAGAACCCTAATCCCCAACACAAAGAACCATTTCAGCATAAAAGGGTTCTTCAACAGAAAATGGTTCTAAATAGAACTACAATTACAACAAGTAAAGAACCTCCACAGAAGACTGAATGTGCTGAGAAGCCTGTAGTATAGAATTCCCAATTCTGAACCATTCAAACATTGATCATTCATAATGCATAAATGACACCAGAGTAAAAGAATGTCCTTGCTAGTTTTCCTTCACCTTTATCCAGATAGATTGTCTAAGCCGTGTCCTGGGTGTTGAGAGAAAAATGGGAACATTTATGACAAATTACAGCTTTATCAGATAAGCCTCTTTTACCAATTTGCCTTTACACCTCTTTTCTGCCAGAGGGATGGAAAAACACTTATCATGTGTCACATAAACTCTGTATCTCTGTATGGTCACAATTAGCTGTTGTGTATTAAGCGATTACTGGCCTTCCTGGGCTGCAACGAGGGACAGTGTAATTTGGTTGTCTGCAAAGTCATAAATCTGATGTGCGCTTCCTACGGGCAAGAACAGACAGTAGCCACCTCACTTCAAAGCTGGGGAAAAGGAACACAGATATTTTACAATTATTACCTGTGATGACTGTGAGTTAAGGGCTTTGGTGCTGTTGCCTTTTTATTCTCACTCACAAACGGCTTGTGTATCCCCTACTTGAACTCTCAGGTTTGTTCTGTTTGCACTGAAAGTGGATAATATAGTGACATTTTAACTAACTCTATCATTCAGTATTTTGAGCCATCCATTTTAAAACCATCCAACTTTTTGATCCCTACCAAATTGTATCTATTTTTTCTTTTTAGATGTATTGACATTTTAATTTACAGTCCAACTATTGCACAAATCAATCTTTTGTTGATAATTAACTATTACAAAGTCACAATCAACTGAGGAAGCCACTAGACAGACCGGTCATAATGGCAAAACGTTCCATCTACTCTTGGGCTGTGCCTATTTTACAGGTAACAAGCCTCCAGTCAAACCAATGGCTTAGGAAATGCCATCTCAGCTAAGATCATATCAGCAGTGGGTGGTGGTGCAATAACCTTTAAACAAGAAATAAGGCACCATTTCGGACATTGCTTCCTTCCTGTCCAGCTTTTACTGCCTAGTTATGACTTCAGCCATCTAGGTTTAGGGGTTTGACTGTCATTCTACAAACAATACAATAGATTAGCTCATATTAGACCAAAACTACTGTGACAAATTCATTTTCCAACCACGTTTTTAATGTAGCACAATATTAGCAGAACAATTACCTGTACCAAGTCTATTCAAACATTCATCAAGACCAATCTTATTGCATCTTAATCTGCATTGTTAAATTGTAAAAAATAGACTAAATGCACCTGAAGTTATACAAACCCTTAGTTGCTGAGAGGGGTTAGTCAAGCCATTTAACTACTGTGTAACTGTAAAACTACTGTTTTTGGCCAATAGATGTGTTGACTTGATGCCCCTCATGGGCGTGGGGTGTTTTCCAGATATGCAGTGAAAGGCAAATTGGTTTTTGTTAGTGGAAAATATAGTTGCTTAAGTAGGAATTACAACATCCTCTTCCTTTTCTTGTTGTGCAATTATAATCCAAAAGGCAGGTTTGTTTAAACACAGGGCTCTGTATTGTGTCATACTGCATTTGCTCTATAATTTGAAATTAGTTGGAAAATGCCACAACCCTTTCATGCTAATTATAGGCTGCTTTGGGATTTTACACTCGAACAGGAATAAAATCAATGAGAATCAGCTCTGTTGACCTGGTAAACATAACAACACTTTTGGGTAAAAAACACCAAGCTTAGTAAAGACGAAAACAGGACAACCACAGCCAGACAGAGGGAGCGTGGGAATGTCAGTGTAATTGTTTCTGACGCTTTTTCTCAATGGTTATGAGAGAAAAAATTAGGGGTCATGAACACAGAAAGGAGAGGCCGATGTACTTGGTAATTAAGGGGTTTGTTTGCAAGGTTTGCAAACTAAAACACTTAAAATAACCGGATTTCTTTCTTTTGCAGGTAATACACGAAATAACAATCATAGACCTTTTACCTCTAAAATGCTTATTGAATTTAAAAAGTTACATTTCATCAATGTCCATTTTTTTTTCTCCTGATATCTAAACTGTCAGCCAAAAAGTAATTTATAAATGGAAACTGCTTTGAACTGTTGATGGTCGAGTCAAAGGTTAAAGAGCACCCTTGAGCTGGACACTTAACCTGAACTGCCCCTCAACACAATAAGAATGGATTCCCAGCTCATCAAATCCATTATTAGCAAAGCAGGTTGGGATATATTCAGAACTGAATTGGGAATGCCTTTTAAATTGCAATTTAAAATTGATTTGGAATTAAGTTAGCAAACAGGACACAGAATATAATTTAAGCAGTACAATATATTAACTGTATAACTGTAATAACTATAAAAGCAAAGTCTGAATGCTGGCATGACAGACAAAAAAGCCCCGATATTTAAAGGTTTAAAGACTTTAGATAAACAGATAGATAAATACTTTTTACCCATCATCCGTTAAGTTTACGGAATTTCCTTTAATCCAAAAACACAACACAAACACAATGCAATGCGAAATTCAAAATACAGGTGAGACACCTGTGAAAAATCAATACATTCATATTAATGGCCTTTTTTTTAAGAGTGGGGTGTTCAAGCAAAAAAAAAAAAAAAATTAAAAAAGGAGACCATTTTTCAGTTCTGAATTTTTCACAGCCCTGTAGTGAAGCAGTATTTGCACCAGTTCACAAAATAAATGTGCGTTTCATTTTCTCTACGACCTTGAATTTATATTTAGTCAGTTGTTCCACTCCATGACTCTGATTCTCTGCACTCCACAACCAGCAGTGTGTGATTCATTTGTAATGGAAACATTTGCACACTTAAATCACTTACTGCCCCAGACTAACTGATGTAGTCCAACACATAAACACTGGTGATTTACAAGAATTGTTGGCAGATTAATTGTCTTGTACGGAGAACTTCAAGCATGCTCTTAAAACCCATCCCCATAGTCTTTTTTTTTTTTTTTTTTTTGACGAATGGTTAGACACTAGTAATTATCAGTCACCATGTATAAATCAAGGTCCTTTTAGATAGCCGTGCACTTGCTGGGAGAACTAGAGATAGCTCGGCCATAACTGTGAATTGTCTAAAGATTTGTAAATCTTAAGTCTGAAGTTAGATAATGAGAAGCTGCTTTCTGGCAGTTATTAGAAGACAGTGGCACAATTATTTGGATACATGGTTTTAAAGGGGTGGTGAGGCTTGAGAAATATGCAGGGAAATTAGAGGTCCACGTGGAAAACATGAATTTGTTACGACATTGTTTGGAACATTTTTTTAGCTGTATGTCACTGTAGGCTACCGGCCACTAATGCTTTAATAAAAGTGCTAGTATTTGTGCTATTCTATTTTTTTATTTGTTCACGCCTTTCACAACCATTGTTGATAATATACAATGTTAAAGAAAACAACATGAAAACATTTTGTTAACTGACGTAAAAATAAAAACTATAACTGGGAAAAACTGAAGCTAAGCTAAAATACATTTCATGACTCCATTATATTATAAAAATTTAACAGTAAACCAGCTTTAACCCTCAGGTGCTCTCCGGTCACTTTTGACCAGAAAATGTTCTGTTTTGAATTTTTTATTTTAAATCGCTTCATCGGAATGGTACGAAACTTGGTGACTTTTATGGCATTTGGAATGTGAACACAAAAAAAAATTGAGGCCATGATTCAAGCAGGCTAAGTGGTCGTAAAAATAATAGTCACACTTGTGCTCTTCGGTCAAAAATTACCAACCATAGGAAATGAATGGGAAATCGATAAAAACACAAAAATTCTCTACAAATCAGCCACGATGCAGAAAAAAAGTGCTCCGCAATGAAGGGGTGAAACTCTAAAACATCAATAGTGCAAAACAGACCCACACACTCTCACACACACAAACACAATTATAAACACAAATGAACTGGTAGGGCTATTACCATACAGCATAATTGAGTCAGAAGACTGAAATAAGAGGTTGAAATGAGATCAGATCCAGATGGATTGAGCTGTGATAAACCATTCCTGTTAAAATTGTTGTAAATTATTAATTGAATTTTAATGTTACGTGTAACAAAAATGCTTTCTCTGTATTCATGTTTGACTGTAGTAATAATAATGCAAAAATGTATACTTCAAAAAAAAATATATTTTTTATAAAC